TATAAACATAATTATAAAGGTTATAAATCGAAATGTATTTCTTGAAAATTGACAGTTTATCACAGTGAAAGTATAGAAAATGTTTTGCGTTGAGAAACTAAATACTTTTGTATTTTTGTATTGAGATAATTTTCACATTTAGTATTATTTTACAAGAAAGGCACTTTATTTTAACGATTCTATGACATTTGACAACTGTCAACTAACTTAAAACTAACTTCAGCCCGTGACTAAAAACCTGTTGCTAACTTCAGCCCGTGACTAAAGCGCCATAAAGCCACAACTTGTCAATGTGTATTTAAAAAGTCACTTAGTGTCATGGAAACATGTACGATAAAGGGCGTTTTAAAGGTGGGAGTAGAAAAAATATTTTTCGTATTAGTTATAATGAAAAGAGAGAAAAGTATCAGTTTTATGGTTAGCAACGCTTTTTTTCTTAGCAAATCTTAAAAATCATAAAGAAAAATGAGTTTTCTACTTTGATCAAGATAATATGTATTTTTACTTAATGGAAAACTTCACTTATACAGAACAATCTCTGCAAATTTTGTATCTAAGTTATTTATCATGTATTAAAAATTTTAGTAAACGGGAAAAACATGTTCTTTACATTATTTTTAAAGAGGTATAATAAAATGATATTTATGTTTAATTTTAAAATTTATTTAAAATTGTAATTAAATTTCAGTGGTTAAGTGCACTAAGTTTCGATGCGAAGGCGCTGGATGGTGGGGTTGGGGAAGTTGTTCGAAAGATGAATCACGTTAATGTTAAAAATAAAAACTTGTTTGTATATTTTATTTATTTTAATTTACCCAAAGATTATAATATTATTGCACATCCTCCATTCCAAAAATCAAGCAATTAATAATCAAGTAATCAAATATTTTTTTCATGTCCTTTTTCGGAATCATTTAGAACCTCGGTTCTAGCAGCTTTAGTTTTCGTTTAATAAGAGTTTTCATTCGATGAAATAGAAAATAGTCGCACGGTGCAAGATCAGGTAAATATATATTAGGGCTTAAACCTAATGGTTATATTAATAATGCTGCACTTTACCTCTACACCTTCACGTGGTTCTTGCTGAACAATGAAATATTAATTAGACAAAAATGAGGTTTATTTAAAATAAACGTCATTTTTACAATAAAATATATTTCATTGACAAAGTAAAGGATTCCTTCCCCACCACAGTCTAAGTTTTTTACTTAGTTTTAAGTATAGGTTGTGAACTGCGACGTCAGTTGGGTTTAAAAAAATGTCTTCGCCTCTGCCTCACCAAAATGAAATGTCCACTGATAATAATAGTTTTATAAAAGTTCTCAGCAATAAAAATAAGTAATAATAACCATCATAAAATTATTTTTATAGGAACAACATATCTTAAAAATATTCATAAAACATTTTGTCTTCTTTCATTTTGTCCCGTTAGAAATCATGGAATTGCTCTATTTTTCTAAAAGGTTAACTAAAACTAGTTATAAGTTATGTTATAAGTTATTATTAGTAGTAGTATAATATTATATAAATTAATTAAAATAGGTTTCATTATTGACATCATTTTTTTTAGTAGGCCTGGTAGTAGCTGTGCATTGGCCCAGAGTAAATATACCATAAAAAACACATGATAATGATTTTAAACCTAAAAATATTATACATAATTAATGAAATATTATTATTAAAAATTAAATGTATCTATAATATATGACATTTCCAAATCCAAATAAAAGATTTTTTTGTTGTTGTTTGATGAACATAAAAATCATCTTTTAGGTATTTTTTTTTTAATGTTAATTTTTTAAAAATTACATAGGTACTTTATTTTTGAAAATGTATTAATATTATTAATATATTAATACTATTTAATAATGAAATAATTTAAAATAAATAAATACACACAGAGCATGGAATGGCTGAATTAAATAAACAATATTTTTTACCTGAATTTACATTATTAAAAATTAAAATTTTTAAATATTTTACCCAAAAGTTCCAAGTCGTCTGCAGAAATTGTTGGGGTGGCATATACGGTGCCTAAAATAACAAAAATGTAACAAATAAAATCTGACTGATTATGTGGGTTAAATGTTTCACTCGCATTCGCCCCTTAATTTATCTTAAAATGAAAAAAAACTATCATAATAATTATTAAGATTAATAAACTGTTTTCTAAAACAAAGAGCTAAAGTCTCTAGGAAAATCTTACCTGAAAAACAAACAAGTAGAATACAAAATAAAACTAACATTTTCGCCATTTTTTAAACGTTAGATAGGTATGATTAGGCTTGAATTAATTTAAATTATTTTGTCCTTCCTTTTTATACACTGATAATTTTAATTAAAATATTTTCTATTAAAATTTTAATCCAGTATAACTCAAATTAAATATGTATTATTTAGTATGTATAAATAAATGTTTTATTAGAATTCTATAGAATTATAATTGGAATTAAATTTTTAAAATCAAAAATTTTTGTGTATACCTATTAATTATTATTTTATATATACAGGGTGTCCTAAAATTAGTGCACCATACTTTCAACAGCAGATTCTACGTGCAAAAATAAGAAAAAAAGTTTCTATAAACATAGATCAAGAAATGCCTCTTAAGGGAGTTACAGCCCCCAAAAGGAAAGCCCCTGAAGATGGTTTTTATTTAATATCTCCAAAACCGTTAAAGATAGAAAAGTGAAATTTCGAAAATTAATTAAATTTTTTATGATCAATAAGACGTAACAATAACAATTTAAAATATTTCATGAGGTTTGGGTCAGATTGATAGGAAGTGGGGCTAAAACCACCTTATTTTTTTTGTACATATCTTGTACCAGAATTTGATGTCAGATTATCAAATTTAGGAGTTTTGCACATAAAAAAGGTCATCCTGTTGAACTTTGATAACATACACAGTTTTCGCTTAAAATCGATTTGAAAATTATTTTACCTGGCATAAAAATTCACAATTAAATCACAACCATGGAAATGGACTCGCGTGGTCCTTGGAATGCGGCTGCAATGTTTAGGAAAAAATAGAATAATTCAAGACAGGTGACAGTTTCATATAGTAAGTGACAGGATGTTTCTACTTTTTTATAAATATTAGATAAAAATCATATTCAGGGGGCTCCTTTTTCGGGGGCTGTAGCTCCCTTAGGAGGTATTTCTCGACCTATATTTATAGAGACTTTTTTCTTTTTTTGCACGTAGAATCTGCACTAATTTCGGAACACCCTGTATATACATATTAATAAATTTTATATAGAGCAAAAGCCAAATAAAGTCTAGCCACGTATTGGCAATTCCCAGAATGAAAATGAAATCCTAAATAAAAAATTTTTTTTTTTGATTAAGGAATCTAAAAGTCTAAAAAAGGTCGCCCAACTTGATACAAATTTATGTAATTAAGTATAAATTATGTTTAGATGATTGCGACATTTATTTGAATAAAATAATTCTAGGAGAATTTGAATAAAATAATTCTAGGAGACAGAAATGATCATTTTTAACATCTCTCATATACAGGGTGAGTCATTTAACTTGAAACTTTATTATGCATTTTACGAAAAAAATTTTGAAATAAAAATTAAATGATTCGAGGGGGGAAATCAATCAGTACCTACTAAAATTGGTCCTTATACTCTCCTCCTTATAAGGGGAACAGGGGGTTTAAAATTTTTAATGGAACACCCCATTTTTTATTGCAGATTCGGATCATTCGACTAAAAATAGGTAGATTTTTTCAAAAACAATTTTGTTCGATTTTTCCTCTGTATACGATAAAAAATATCACTTTTTTGGAATGTGAAACACCATGTATATAATCTCCAAAACGGCTTCTAGCAAAATATATTTACTATTATATTATCCAATATACCAAAAGCGTTGTTGCCAAATGCTTTTTACAGCATCTTGATGAAGAAGTATTTTCTAATTAAATTTACTGAGCCAGTAATACATTTTAAGCAATTTTTTTAATTGATAACGATTGAAGTTTCTACTCTTTTTATACTTATAAAATCATCTAGTTTTTGCAAATGCTGAAAAACATTTTTGATCAGAATCAGAATGTTGTACTATTTTTCCTACTGTCCCCTACAACTATTGAAGAGTTTAATAATAATAATAATAATAATAATATGACTTTATTGCAAGTAAATAATAAACATTTACATATAGTAAAAAAAAAATACATTTAAATGCAAAAGGCGAAGTTCAGTATGTCACCTACTGGTGAACTACTGCTCTTCCACTTAACCTGTATATTCAGGATAAAAATATATACATAAAAAAATATGAATACATAAAAAAGAAAAATAAACATTAATATTGGTTAAAAATTAGCAATACATTAACAAGGAAATTATTCAAAGCTAATAATTATAATAATAATTAGAGAACAAACTAGCATAAAAAACACAAACAGACTTGAACAAAATAAGAAACAAAACCAGAAACTAGCATAAAATACAGAAACATTTGCAACATTAAATTATAATCATATTATTAAATAATAGGGAACGTAATTTATGTTTAAAACAGATAATTGACTTGGACTTTAGTTCATTGGGGATAAGGTTGTAGTACTTATATATATTGAATGTAAAAGATCTTTCAAACATTGTATATTTGTGAAGCGGAGGAGTTATAGTGTTTTTATGTCTAACATTTATGTTATGAATATCTGTCCTAAAGCTTATTTTGTCGTGCAGATACGAGGGACATTTATATTTTATTATTTTATAATATAAAGTTAAAGAATTTAGGATTCTGCGTTCCTTCATGTTTAGCCAATTTAATTCTCGCAATTTATTACCAACACCAGTTTGGCGTCTTTTAAGTCCACTTATAAATCTGACACAAGAGTTCTGTATTCTCTGAATTCTTTGAGAATCTAAATTTGTCAGGCATGGGCCATATAGCGAATCTGCATAACTAAATACACATTCTTTATTCCCTGTACATACTTTTCTAAAAAGCATAAATAAAACACAATTTTATTTTTCGAACTATTTTTTTATTTTTAAAAAACCCTAACAACTCTGTTTCTTCCATTCATCTGCTTCGAACTCATTGGCAGGCAACCCTTTCACACCTAAATTTGTTATAGCCAAAACTGTTCCAGCCAATGGTTGACTGGGAATTTGTGCTTCTGTCAATCTCATCCTGGAGGTGGTGGCATATAAAATATCCAAATTGGGACCTCCGAAAGCCAATGATGTCACGTAGGTGACTGGCAGGTCCAGTTTTAGCAGGAGTTCGCCTGTTTGGCCGTGGACATGAAGAATCTAAAAAGTTGCAATTTTATTACTGAAATTATTATTATGATTACGATTAATAAACGAAAGGTAAATATGAGGCCTGTCATAGCAAAACCGACAATCTCCACTTTAGGTCAAAAATTAGATTTTTGGCGTAGACTATTATAGTATAATACTTCAACTAATTATCTATAAGATGAAAAAGTGTAAGTGCTGCAAAAGGAGCTAAATCCTGCCTAAAACCCTATTTTAAAAATGACATTTAGTGCAAAGTCGACAATCTCCACTTATAGATTTGCAGCAAAGTATACAATCTCCAATTCCACCATTAGAAATTAGTAATTTGTGTCACCTGATATCCTAACATTTGATGTTATAACGTATTTTAGAGATTTAATTTTGTTTTTTTTTACTGGTACATACTGTTAAGTTCTATTGCAGTAAATTGCACTTAAAAAATATATTTAAAATAGGTAAATCTACGTTTTATTGTTTTAAGAATTATAAAAAAGTTATCTTGTTTATTTTGTGCTATTATACCATAATAAGACGAAAAGGTAAAGCAAGAAAAGGCTGATAATGTCAAAACATTGCAAGTAAAACATTACGGGGCAAAGTGGGAAGGAGATGAGTTGTTGTACTATAAATTTTTTTTTGCACGAGGCAACCTGGTCCCAGATTTATGTGATCCAGTTCAGAATTTTCCCACATTGATTGTATAGTTAAATTTTATAACCATTAAAGGGAGAAAAATACAATTATTTTTTTGTTTTTTTTTCTAAATCTCCTTAAACGTTTACAACAAAATCAGCAATCTCCATCAATTCATATCAAAGTCAGCAATCTCCAATTTATAATTATAAATTTCACCTATACTATGCATCCTGGAGACCTTGTAGTTGGCTACTAGACTAACAACAATATTTCAATATAATATATAAAAAAAATTACAAATCTAGAATTTAAAATACCAAAATCAATTATCTCAATTTACTAATAAAGTTTTAGTCTGACGGGAGATTGTTGACTTTGCTCTGACAGGCCTAATATATAACAACACGTTATTTTCTTTAAAAAAGTATTAATTAAGTAATTCTAAAAAAAAAAAAAAATCCTAAGAAATTCAGATTAGTTAATATGCAAAATTGAATTAAATTTTATTTAGTTTTTATAACTTTTTTATTATGTCTCTTTACTTTTTATGGTTTTCTTGGATTATTTGCCCTAATATTTAAACGTTCATTTAGAAAAGATAGTAATGTCGAAAATTAGTATATAGAAAATTATAGAAATTGGTCACAAAAAACAACCATACCGATGGAAAATGTTATTTTTGCTACCAGTTTTGCCTTAAAAATAACCGATAATCGGTAGCTTGACGTCATAATTTAAATTGTATGGGTGATTCTACAAAAGTTGGACAACTTGATGTCATCAGTCAATAGAGTAGGTATTTTAATATTTTTTGTAAATATTTTTGTATATTACAAAAGATCCAGGTTTTTTTAACTTGTCCACCCAATTTTAATGTATTTTTTCAAAAGCACATTTGTAGAAAAACATAATAAATATTCAAAACATCAGTACCTTGGCGGGTCACAACTCCTGAATCAAATATTTGAGTGTTTTTATTTTAAAATATATTTAATTTATCGTGAATGCACGTATAGTTCCAATAAAAATTTCAGTACTCTGGTGAGTAGTTATTTTCTTACGTATACATATTTCATTGCAATTTGTATAAGGCTATATGTGATTTGTGGATAAGTAGCATCCACTAATAAAAAATATCAGTAAAATACTTAATTTCGAATTATAATCTCAAATTTGTATCCCATTCATCAGTACAGTGTCGTCAGTTCCATGTTCGATGTTTCGGTAATATTTTTTTCGCAAACTTCAATTTAAATTCTGCTTGCGCAGAACTTGTTTATTTAATGTCATTATAAACTCATATAAATTTGGTGTGGGTCCCATAATAGAGATATCGGTATACCCAAAATCCACCAGCCGCCACTGATGTTTGGTATTATTTGATTTTAAGATATTTAATGTTTAATATTTAATTAATATACTCAAAGTTGCAATAAATCTTATATTTCCAATAAATTATGTATTTAATTAGTACCCTGGTATACTCGTCACTTCCCTTGCATTCAAATTTAGAAAACACAGATATTTCATAAACTGTTTGAAAAAGTTACTGGCCCGGTCTGGAACAGTATACACGGAAAAAAATCCGTTACTAGGTTTAAGAATAGTTCTATACTTCATGTTAAGAACTTGATTTAAGTATATTTATTATTTCTATGAGATTAGCGTACATTTAAACTAAGTAATGGGATATACTTAATTTTTAAGAAAAACTGTTACTTGATTTGAGATGAGTATTCTTGGATTGAGTTTATAGGTATTTTATTTTAAAGAAAATTGGTATACTTAAATCAAATATACAATAATGCTTAGATGAAAGAGATCTAGTTTTTTACTCAAAGCGGAATTTTGCCACTTATTTTAAGTATTTTGTATATTTGTATGAAATTTCGGTATACTTTATTTAAATATATGTATATTTAATACAAGAACGCTTATACTTCAATTTAAGTATAAGACCTCTAGAACAAAGAATACACTATACTGTATTTAAGTATAGCTATTATTAAAACAAATACCTAATTCTTCGCTTTAGTAAATACCGTCCACCCTCTAAGACCGCTTCGCTAAAAGAAAAGACGCAGTTTCTGTGTTCAGTTCTGTCCTGTGTGTACGTGTCGGCGCCGGCAGTTCGTTTTTTTCCTTTTTCGGTCTGGATGTTATTTTTAATAAAAAATAATGGAGAAGAAACTTAAAAATTGGGGCTTAGATTGTTTACTAGGCACATTTTTGGGTAAGTAAATAATATTTCATTAATTTAAAGTAATTAACTAGGCATGATCGTAAAAATGTAGTTTAAAATGGATAGGTATACTGTAGTGTTAAATGGATAGCATACGACAGGTAATAGACAATAGCACATAAACAGCAGAAAGGCTATAGCCTCCAATTCAGCTATATTATTTTTGTTTTAGAAAACGAGATAGATCTCGATATTATGGTAAACCTAAGCGAGGAGAATTTAAAGGAATTAATTCCAAAAATAGAATTGAGGATCAAGTGTAGAGAAAAAATTGAAGAATTAACACCAAACCATCTACGATGATAATGGTAGCCTTCTTAGAGACAAATTTTACAAATTATTTAGCTGGAGATAAATTTTACTGACAATAAAAATACCCACTTAAAAAAATAATAACTATTGTGATTAAAAACCTTACCTTTACATATACCATCAAAAATGTGATTCCTAGGTACTTAAAAAAATAAAATGTAAAATATAGTATTTATGTTAATTAACCGTGAAAGAATGAATTTATATAAATTGACAGTACTTTTTCTAATACCTAAAGACTGTTAGGTAATAAACCTATTGTGATATCAGTGCCTATTATACTTAGTACTTTAGTATATTAAAATAATTAAAATAATATGCCAAAAATACTGTTAAATTTTTGTCATAACGATTATATTTTCACTTTCACTTGTATTTTCCGTAGTGGTAGGATAATTAATACAAATATTTTTCAGGGTCACAAATGTTTTTTTTGTAAAAATTATTCCGAGTCGCTAGACGAGGGAATTTTTTTTTCTAATCAACCACTTTTTTTAAGAATAGTGTAAAGTTATTTTAAATATATACTATACTTTTATTAAATATAAAAAAAGGAAAAGTAAGAATACAAGCATTTTATGCAAGTAAAGCGTGTACTTACAATAAGTATAAATAAATAAATTTTAAAGGAAGTATATTCTTAAAACAAGAATACTCTAAAGATTTTACAAAGAAACTATACTTTGATGAAGTACATACTAACGTTACAACAAGAATACCGTAGTCTTCATTGAAGACAAATTTGTATACTTAACTCAAAATTAGCGTGTTTCTTATTTTTAGTATAGTAGTAATCTTAGATTAAACCGAAGCTATCTTTATTTTATAAGAATATGAGGATACTTGAAACAAGTATAAATTTACTTGCGGAATAGGGAAACTAAGCTATACTTGGATAGAGTTGAATTTTCTTGGAATCAGTATAGATTTTTTTCCGTGTATTATCTATGTTCTCATAACAAAATACTGTTTAATTTTCTCCGAAAACTATATAAACAAAATGAGGTCAAAAGTTGACCAACTTTTGTAGAATCACCCGTATATTGGTAGCAAAAATAAAAAATCCGGTCATAACCAAATTCGTTGGCAGTACTTATTTTGGTATAAAGTTCATAAAATTATTTTTTAAACCACTTACACAACCACCTCCATAGATAGCTACCCAAATATTATCATCAGAGTCAATAGTCATACCATCTGGAATTCCTGATGTAGGTATATCAGGGTACTTTGCCAGATCAAATAAAACTCTACTTTCACCTAAAATCAAATGATATTACATACTTTTTCATGATTTTCATGATTTACAATGCAATCAGCTTATGAGAAACTTTTTTATTTTGATGTTGGACAAACAAAAAAAAAAACTTTTAAAGCCTGCATGATGGAATTACCCATAAACTTTTTACTAAATGGATATTTTACCTAACACTCCTTTTTCCAAATCGAATTCATAAATAACGACATTTCTTTTTGCACTGTCGATGTAATAAAAGTGTTTGTTATTTTTTGACCAAGCCAATCCATTACTTATACTTGTATAGTTAACTTGCTGGTTATCTTTTAGTAACTTTTTGTCGGTTATCACAAATAATTCCCCTCCATTGTCCTTAACCGATTGGTCAGGATTTCTTGTCAAAGTTCCTAAAAAAATTTGTCTTCAATTCAAAAATCAAATGACATTTTTTACCTATTTTATAAAAACAGAAATTTCTTATTCTTTATCTTATTCTTTATTTGATTCTTTTTTTTGTAATTACCTATCCAAAGTCTTCCCTTGGCGTCTGCTTTACCATCATTAAATTGGTTGTTTGGTTTTGACTCGTCCACCATTAAGATCTCTTCGTATTTAGCGGTGTTGTTTTCTTTACCGTCCCATTTTATTTGGTACACTATTCTGTCAGCTCCGGCCACAAATCCTTTCGGGTCGCCTTTAATTGGAACAATGATGCCTATTGAGTTACGGTCGTCTGAAATAAGGTTTTATTTATTAAATTGGTATTTCATTTATTTTTATACTAGTTAAAAGAACTGACAACACTGAAATGTAATGAAATAAAATAATACAATAGCGGAAAGTTAGCAAATATGGAGTAGAATAGATATATCAGCATTTTTTAAAAATGAACATCTGTTCACGCAGTTTTTTGAGCTAGTGAAAAATCATATTTAACTTATATACCTATACGAGGTGTGTTCAGAAAATAACGGGAATTGTTAAATTTCGCGGGTTCGGAGGGTCCGGTTGTCATAAAATTTTCTTTATTATGTTGGTATGCATGCCCCCGAAGTATGATAAAAACTTTAGCTGTTTTTATTGTTTACTTTGTCTGTGGCAGCCGCTAAGGTTAGACTTGTTTTTATGAGCTCGGCGATTTTCGTTCGTTAAAAGAAATGGATCAAAGAATTTGTATCCAATTTTGCTTAAAAAATGAAATAAATTCTGTGAAATGTTAACAAAGGCCTATAGTGAGTCTGCTATAAGTAAAACAAGAGTTTACAAGTGGTATAAGAGTTTCCAAGATGGTCGTGAAGACGTTGAAGATGACGAACGCCCAAGCACATTAACAACCGATAAAAACATGGAAAAAGTGGAAGAAATGGTTATAAACCATCAGAGAAGTCACTGATGATGTTGATATATCGATTGGCTCATCCCATGAAATTTTTTCGAATGTTTTGGGTATGAAACGCGTGTCAGCAAAATTTGTTCCAAAATTGTTAAATTTTGAACAAAATTTTTGGCCAAAAACAATAATGTAATGATGCCCCAGCCTCCATATTCGCCAGACATGCCTCTGACTTTTTCATATTCCCAAAAATTCGTTTTGCAAGCATAGATGACATTAAAAGAGCATCGCTGAAAGAACTTTGATTGATTTTTTAGTACCTACGTTCGTACGCTTTAGCAAAATCTAGTAATCTTTTAAAGTTGAATATTAGGGTGGTGCGAAATATGAATATTTTAAAAATGAAAAGGCCTGTATATATATAGAGTGTTTCTGGTAAAAATAAACCTTTTGTTAAAAAAAATATTTTTTTTTTAATTCCTTCCACCGCCCCAATACAAATCCATCTTAAATATAAAAATTTTAATATCAGACGGAGGTGGAAAACGGTTTATTTTTTTAACCAATATTGTTTTTAGCATAATTAACTTTTACAAAATTAGGTAAGTAATTTAAATTTAAAAAAATCAAGGTAAATGGGGGCACCCGGTAAATTTGAAAACTATAAAATGTATTTTCTTATTTCAGACTAAACGGGATTTGGTTTCCTTTCTTTGACAATAAAAGTGTCAAATTTTGGAAAACTGATGTAAGTACAAAATAAACATTTTGGTAAAAATATTATTTAATAAAAATCCTTTCACTGCCCCAGAGCCATGGCAAACAAAAATTTATAATATTTGAGGCAAAAAAAAATTGAGTGATCCTCGCGGCTTTTTTTAAATTTATTATTCCTAATTCTATAGAAACTATCATTTTTGCTGTTACTGGTCAAAATTTTGACTAAACAAATTATTTTCTACAATTGAATTTTTTTTAAAGAAAGACATAGATTAACTATATTGGCTTCCTAAAGAATTTATAAAAATATACACAATATTATTAAGTTGTAGAAAAAAATCTTGTTAAAATATCATTTCTCTGGCATGTTATAACTGGAGTCGTCTAACATAAAGGCAGAACCCTGAAATATCAGTAAAACTAAGCTAAAAATATATATTACTTTTAAACCACCTTGTTAAAAAATATATAAAACCTGTTACCACCTTTAGCGGTCATTCCTCTGGTTTGCGAAAGATACCTAAATATTTGATCCTAGGTGGCGATAGGTCCTTGCACGCAACCAGAGATTCTTTTCCTAACCTAGTTCTTCCACTGAGTCAGCAAGCAAATATTTTCTAACAAAACACACGTGTTTTTTTAGTTTTGTTTTAAAATTGTTAGTGTCACACACAGACAGATCATTTCTCTGGTAAGTGTATTTTGTTTATTTATAATTTTGTTGCATCCATTATTTGATTTGAATACGAGATTATGGGTTTACTTTTCTATAAACCAATTTTTAGGTTAAGGTTTGTTTTTTTTCTTTCCCACGTGAAATAAACTAAGAAATCGCCATTCCTCTGGCACCATTCCTCTGGGAAATTAAGACATTGTTACAAATTATCGTCTTACAAATTAGGAAAATTGTAAATGGTGGCCGGCACACATACCCAAAAGCAGTCAAAAATTTTTGGAATTCGATTCAAATAGTATTCTATATCCTGGGAAAAAGACTATTGTTCAAAAAATAAACTAATAAAGCAAAAAATAAATCTCAGTGATACTTATTTTGGGGTAGAAATCTCAGATGAAAAGGATGTTTCGTACGTTAATTACCAAGACATAATAACAATATTACCACGTCGCGAAATAATTCAGCAAGGCTCCAAACTGTCTATTATTATTATTATTATTATTATTATTATTAATAAATTTAAAAACTTAATTGACGAATTTGAATAAAATTAAAGTTTCTATAATAGAAGATAAAAGATAAAATAGAAGAAGATAAAGTAGTTACTTGAAAAACAAAAATATAAACCTGCTTTATTTCATGACCCATTTTCAAAAAATGGTTTACGAAATAAAGAAGGTTTATATTTTTGTTTTGTTTTGTTTTTTATTTTTTTATTTTTATGACACGGTTTTGTTTTTAAACAAGTTTATATTTAAGTTTATTTTTAATTACTTATTTAGTTTTTATGCTATATTGTATTCCTTTGCCTTTTTGAATAAAATAATAAATCCTCTGCTTGCCTCGTCATTCCTCTGGATATAATTTTAACAAAAACATCGGAAATCTGCTCAAAAAACAATTAAACCGTTTGATCTTTCACTTTGCAGGGTTTATTTTAAACCAAAGGTCGTATTTGCATAATTAAAAAATAAAATTAGAACAAAAAAACTATTTTCAAATTACTATATTAAAAATGATAGTTTCTGTATAATCACCCAGATACTCAAAATAATATTAAGGCCAGAAAAATCGCATTATTTACTTTATATCGCCGACGGTGGTCGAGTGGTTAGTGCAGCTGACTACAAGCCGGAGGTCGTGGGTTCGAATCCCACCAGGGGTATGGCTGTTTATTTGTGTTGTCCTATTGTGTAATAGTCCTTCGGAGGGGACTTTAAGCCCGCGGTCCGTTCCTACCCCTAACCCGCACAAGCCATTCAGTTGGCTTATGGGACTTCTTAAGAAGTAAGGGTGGAACTAAAAGAGCACTTTTGTATATAAACTTTTGTATATAAATTGAAATTTTGACGGTGTTATAATAAAGAATGAGCATTTTTGTTAAAAAGCTAAGAATTTTTTACAAAAAACAGAAATGTTTCTATTTTTATAAAAACATTATTTGCCCAAAAATAATAAAGAAAAAGTAAAAAAGAATTCTATAAAATTCGAAAAATCATTGTATTAATAATTTTAATATTATTCATTTATTTAGCTTTAAAGTACATATAAATACCTACAGTTGGTCGTTATTTTGACGTAAAGAATATCTCCAAAAAATTTCAAAAAAATTCTCTGAGTTACAAAAAAAAATAATTTGGTGGAAAGACCCATATTTGATACAATAAATACAAATAATACCGTTGGCCAGCGATTTGGTCAGTTACTCCTCGCCGAATTAATAAAATAAGGTCATTTAGTATTAAAATTACCTATAACATGATATGTGACCTGGATTATAGAAAGGTACCTATGGTCGGAAGAATCAATTTTTGTTTTTTAATCGAAATTTATAGAAAATTGAACGTATTTTTCAATAGAACAAACCGCAGACTCCTAAGTTTGAAACTTTTGCTGGAAATCATCCTTAAAGTTCAATATGAATTATAAAAATCGCGAAAAAAATTGTAAATAGATCAAGAATTGCTTTTTTTTGAAGAGACATATCGAAAGACGAATCTGGTACAACGTCATCTTCTATGTCACTAACACCTGCACCTCCACCTTGATCTACGTAATCTTCATCACAATACGCAAAATATTGTTTCTCCACTGCTTTAAATTCTTCTTCTAAATCGATTTTGCACTTTCACAAACTAAAACAATTTTAAGTTAGCTGCATAACAAAGAAAAACCAGGATCTCGGAAATAGAATGATAAGAAAAGCAGCACTTTTTCTTCCAACTTTTTCAACGTTCACAAAATTAGCTATTTAGGAGAAATCACTTGAATTAGGTACAAAAATATTTATTGTAAAAGCACCACTGTATAGTGGAAGTCTAAAGAGAGGTGGAGAGCCCAAGGTAAGACGAAAAAAGAAGAGGTAGAACCGCAAATACAAACGCGACGCACGGACACGAGTTGTTATCTTTAACAGCTGTTTTCTCAAAAACTTGATTTCTAGCCATAAGTACCTTTCCGTAGTCCAGGTCACATATGTTATTAAAATAATCACATTTTTCCTACCTATATGAAACATGGTCACTTCATTGGTTTTTGGGTCCCATTTTAGAGCGTCCGCTTTAAAAGTATCAACGTAATATAAAAGTTGTTTGTGGCTGTCCCAGTGAGGTCCTTCTGCATGTTGTATAGGTTTTGTCACACTCTTTATGGAGATGCAACCTTTGGGTTTACGCGCCTCCACACTAAAACAAGATTTTTACTTTAATTAAAAGTTGTACCCAAGTACGTTGTAAAGTTACCATATGGAGTCGTAAAATCATTTGGTGTTAATATATACACTAAAATTGGTGAAAAATATTAAGTGTTTATTTTAAATTGTGGTAAAATTCATTCGTATTAATTTAACAGAGCACCGTGTCAATCTAGTGTTAATTTAAAGAAAAACTCGACGCGGTGTACATTTAACACTATTATGTGTTGACAGCTACACAAATTGTGGTAAAAAAAGTCACGTAGTCATCACCATTCGCTAACGGCAAGGGCGCGATCAGTATTTCGAGTGCAGTTGATGGTAGTGTACCTATGCATGCTATTTTAATTTAAGACCATGGTTTTTAAATTAAAATTCAGTGGTCTGGTGAAGTGGTGCAATGTGACAGTGGATGCAACTTAAATTTGTGATTAAACATGTTTTTTTACCTGTTATTTTTAAGTGAAATATGAAATTTAGTAATATTTTACGTTTTTTGAGCTAGTGAAAAATCATATTTAACTTAAATACCTATATAAGCTAGATATGGTTTTGCACAAACTGGAAAAACCTTAAAATATTACTACTTTTCATTCAATTAAAAAAATTAACACTTCTTGGGTATAAAAATACTTACACCTAAGTAGTCTTAATAATTTTTTTTTAATTTTATGCCAAAGCCTATTTGTATTCATATCTAATAGTTTGTAAGTAATATAAAATATACTTTTTTTACATTACATGCTGTGTAATATTAAAACACCCACCATTTTTAACACCTACACGTTTAGTAAATTACACCAAATTGAGCATTTTCTACTCTTGAATGGAGTTCTTTTACCAATAGTGCGTGTAGCTTTTACCCCTAAGAGTGTATTATATTTGATGATTTTTTCACTGTTACGAGTTTTTTGTACGAATAATACGTGTAGGTTATTAACCAATTAAAAAGGGTGTTTTTTTTAACAGAAATTTTATACTGTGTAGTATGATATTAACAACAGGAAGTGGTTTATAATTTAACATTGAATAGTAAAAATTACAATTAAAATATATTTGTATATTGTTTATTTTTAATTAGCAATAATAAATAAACAAGAATGTTTAAAAATGTGTCCATATTTTTAACAAAATATTTTTAATTAAAATATTCGATTTAAAATTAAATTTTATGATAAAAATTGGTAAACAATACGCATTATAAGAATTAATAATAGGAATAGGTTAAATATTATTGTGTTTATTTCATTAAATAAATAAACACAAAACTTTTACTATAGTACTTACAGGTATTTGGCAAACATTAAAAATAAACTAAATAATATTTGATGATAATTTGCTTTTTTTACTTAGATATTATCTAAAATATTTATTTTCAGTGTAAAACAATCTTAAAAAAAATTTTTAATACTTTTAAATTTGAATTATTTTATATATTTTAAACTTTGACCGATATCATTTAAGGAAGTTCGGGTAAAACAAGACAAATTTACAACGTTTTAGAAAGATTGAATTTTTAAATTTGACTTATTTTATATATTTTAAACTTTGACCGATATCATTTAAGGAAGTTCGGGTAAAACAAGACAAATTTACAACGTTTTAGAAAGATTGAATTATTCAAGTTACTAAGACCACACAGGATGTTATCGTTTATTATTGCTAAACTGTGTTGTGAATGTTGACAAAAATTTGTATGCCAATTTCACAAATATCGATTTAGTATTGTACTGTTGTAAGATATACGTTAATTTAATATCCCAGCCCATTTTTTAATTAATGGATATCTTCTAACGGGACATTGAAAAATTAATTAATTTTTTTTTCGTATGCACTTAAGCCAGTAGAAGTGTGTCCAGCCTAAATTATCAATCTGTCATTTTCTTCTAGAAGATCCGGCAATACTGAATTACGAACACGTGATTAAATATATTTTAAAAAGATGACTAATTTAATAGTTATTAGTGGCTGCTTTTTCACTTGTACCATGGTTATCCCAAAATTTAACAGTCAATTCTTATGTAAAATTGTCCCCTGAATCCGAAAATACCGTCAAAAATTATGAAAGTGGAGCAGTTTTTGAGATATAGTCAATTCCATATTAAATGGAAAATTGACTTTATCTCAAAAACTGTTCTACTTTTTTAACTTTTCACGACATTTTCGGATTTAGGGGACAATTTTACATAAGAATTGGCTGTTTAATTTTGGGATACCATGATACAAGTGAAAAAGCAGCCACTAATAACAATTAAATTAGACTAATTCATTTTTAGAGAGTAGGAATATTTGGTTTGAATTATTCTATAATTTCTTATCTTTCTGCTTTTCTCGAGACTTTCGCTGTATTTAACATACTGCTTGTTTTCTGTAGCTATATTTTTGGTATCCATACTTTTTTTAATAATTTTTTTTACAGTGGACTAATTCGTTTTACAGAACATAATAATTCATTTTCACAACACATTTAAAGATTTCTTTAAGATTTGAAAAAAAAACTGCATACAGAAATGTCACTGCAACTGTCAACATTAATCCAGATGGATCTAGCACGAATCCAGCAATTTATAAATTTTTTAAAAATTTTTTAAAAAAATGTAAAGAATTTTTGTTATTCTTAAAAAAAAATAATATAATTTTTATTTTCATAAAAAACCTAAAATAGGTACCAATTTTAATTCGACAGCAATTAAATAAATTAATTTAATTCATTGATATTGATAACTAAAATTATTCATTTATATTTTTTATAATAATTATTTTAATAATTTTCATGTTTTCATGTTTTGTTACTGTATAAACTGTATAATATAAGTTTTTTTGATAAATTAGGTAAAAAACTGATTAGCTAGCTATACTAGTAAATTACTATTAGTAATATGTAAACCGAAATTATTAAATAAATAATAAATATTATTTTTACAGGACTAAAAAACTTTTATGAAGAAAAATATTGCACTATTTTGTATATTTAAATTTTATTACATTTATCCTCCTCATAATATGAATTTTATCCACTTGACCAATAAATATTTGTGGAACATTAAACTGATTTCTACTTTAAAAGCTTGAACAAAATTATTGTAAAGATTATAAGATTATAATATAAGATAATTATTTTTATTATTTTTATAATAATTATTATTATTAACTACTGTAATGTAATGAAATGTTTATGTTGTATATGTAATGTAATGTTTATAAATAAACTAAAATAAAAATTCAGTCAAATTACCTACAATTCTTACAACAAACAACCCGGGCCACAGCGGTGCCAAAAAGACACTTATGTAGTATGAAACTTTAATATTTTATGAAATTGTTTTTAGATTGTAAACAAACAATATAGGTACCTACTTTGCAAAATCGACTTTTTGGTTTTTATTGATTATAATAAAAGATAATATCAGAATGCATGTCATTCTAGATTTGTAGTAACTAAAATTTGGACAATAAAAAAACGTTTAAAACTTACCATTTAATCGAGCATTTTATCTGCATACCGTTTAATTTTGTTTATTTTATAAATAAAGTTACTATAAAATTTGTATAATTTGACAACTGTCAATATTTAAAAAAATACCTGAATTTATTTAATACTGTGAAATTTTTACAAACACAATTATTGACGTAAAAGATTATTGTAGGTACTATACTTTACATGCAAAATATATTTTAACAGCAAATTATTTAGAAATCGAAGCAACAAGTGGAACAATTTTAAGAATAAAATGATAACACCTAAATGGATCATAACCGGAAACGCATATTTCTAACGATTATTAGGAAGTATGTATTATACATAATATATCTCAAATAATTCCAGATTTTTTCCCCGCAAGGTTCCAAGACAATAATTTTTAAAGCTAGATTTTTTAAGGCATTTTGTTAATGATACCTTGATTTATAATATAGTATTTAATTTTATTATATTTACTACATTGGCACCGCTGAATTTCCTGAGAAAATTCTAAAAAACCTTTTAAAATTAACTAAACCATATCCAATTGCAGTTGTTATGACAGATCTATTTTATAATTTTTTTTAAGAAATCAAAACAAAATAATAATTCTAATTTGCTTAATAATTTAAAAAAATTGTTGTTTTTAAGCCTTAAAGTGTTCAAATACAAAAGTCGAAGCTGTTTAGTTTAAAATTATTAAGAATTAAATATTAAAATTTATGATTTTTAACTAGATAGTTGTAACTTACATTAAAATTGTTAAAAGCCCAAAAAGTATATATTTTGCAATCATATTTAATGCTTAACGTTTTGTGTAAAACTAATTTACGCTATGTTTTCCGCCTATTTATAGGTATACATGTATTGTCGCAAAAATAAGGAAGGAAAAAATAGTTCAAACAACAAGGTCAAAAATAATTTAGAAAAAGAAGTAGATATTGAAATATCAAAATGTCATAATTTAAAGTTAATAATGATATTAAATATGTAAATAATTTTCAAAATACAAATTTTAAAAACTTTATATCTTGCTAATTATTTAAATTTAAAAACGCTAAAAAATGATAACTAAATTTTAAATAAAATTTTGTATACGTGACGCAATTAAAGTTTACGCGGCATATGCGTTTGTGTAGTAAATCGAAAATCAGTTTTTGGACCCTAGGTCCCTTTCTTGGATGGCATTTCATGCCAAATTTGCGCGTTTCTTAATCTAAATCAGAAAGTATCTTTAAATATTTTTTTTAAATTACTTGAGGGAAGAGCAATAGATTTCTTGGTACAAGAACCAAAAATATATCTTCGGAAGATATTTCCTCTTTTAAATGAAGAAAACGTTTTTTAGCTCAAAAAAATGTGATTTTAATAAGTAAACTGCATCTCTTAATTGAAAAGCTTAGGAACTTTCCAAGAAAGAACATTTGTCCTGCTACAAAAGCATATACTATTGACCTAACCACATTTTATTTTGATTTTAGAGCAAATATCTCTTGGTCCAATATTATGTATTGCTTTATTCAAAAGCTTCTGATCTTCACTTAAACTACCAGCGTTATTAGTATTTAAGCTTAAATTCCCCTCACCATATAGGCCTTTTAATTTTAATTATGAAACATGCATTTAACAATTAAAATCAAGGACCTTCGTAGTGAGGGGAGTTCAAACATTGGCATCGTTAAAAACCAGAAGATTGCCTGAAAAAAGGGTTTACAAAAAAAAATTTAAATAAAATAAGACATTTATTGTTCAACAAAAGCGCAAGTTTTTTATACTAATACCAATAAACTAACATAAAAATGATTTAACATAACATTTTTATTACATATTTTAATTGATACATTTCCTACAAAAACATTAAACAAATTAATTAAATTTCATTTATTTAAAAAGAGTTTTAATGATTCGAACTCCATCGTGAAAGTACATACAACACGCCACAACATAACACAACCGGCAAAATGCTAAAACAGGAACAATTTCAAATCAAATTTGTAAATAGTTATGGACGATTAAAAAAAATCGAAAATTTTTGAAATTACGAAATCTAAAAAGTATATATAAAACATATCCAAATTTCATCAAAATTTCAAATGCCAACTTATTTGATAGATAAATTAGGCATGGAAATTTACATATTTAATTGCTTTCTTGTCGAAATCAAAATACTTTATTCCGAAATAACGGTTTAAATCTGAGAATAAAATTTTAAAAGTAAGCCATAACCAAATAAAAAAATTACTAGGTAGTTGATTTAAAGTAGAACAAAAAAACAGCATCTTGATGAAATAATTACCAATGCCACAAAAGAAAAAAGATTAAGGAGCTACCATTGGACAAAGGTATTGACACAAATAATAAATATTTTTTTATTTCATATAAATTTCTGCATGCCTTTTTAAAAGGACAAACCGAATAATATTATCCATAAATACATATATTCATTCCTAGACACAGGGGCGTAACTAGGCGTGTGGGGGCCCCGGGGCAAGGACGTGAATTGGGGCCCATGGATAAAATTGAAAAAAAAACTGTTTAAAACACTTATAAAAAACATGATTTAAATGTTTAAAACCTGTTTAAAAAAACAAAATAATGAGTAAAATTGTGTACAGGTAATAATAGGTATTTTTTTAAACATCCTGGCTTGACATCATCTAAAATTGTTTTCAGGTGCGCGAAACGCACGAATAACAAAACTGTTTTTATAAAAAAAAATTTTAGATAATTTATTATACATAATATTTTTTCATCAAAATGTCAAAAAATATTCTTCTTTTATTAGGCTATACATTAAATAAAAAAAACGCAAGAAATATTTTATAAAAATAGAGATAATTTTAATAATTGAAGGTGTGGACGGGACAAAAAAAGATTTATCTTGTCACCTATATTTCAAAGGAAAAGTAATTTAATTTTTTAACAACTTATATTTGGCATCAATCAATATTGTTAAACAAAAACTAAAAGCCTTTTTATTTAAGGAATATCTCAACCACCTTGATAAGTTTTTGAAAAAAAAATTAAGTTAAGTTCAAAATCAAATTTCTGATCAAACCATGATAAACCGCAAAATTAAACAAGAAACATAAAATCTTTGGTTGAATCGCATTATTTTGGGCATATTGATAAGTCATTAGATTTTACAAAAGATGGCGCCACAATTATTGCCACGATTGACAAGAACCATCCTTTAAACAATTACTGTCAATTTGTCTACCAATTAAAATCTTTTATATATCAAGGATATTTTCATATCAAAGATGAAAATTTATATATAAACACTTAATTTTATATTGGCCCAAACGGCGCCTCATACTCTTGGTAGTCTCTACCAAGAAAATAATTTTTTATGCTGCATTTTTTTTACGCCATTTTTTTATTTTGTATCTTACGAGCTTACTCATGAACAATTTTATCTTTAAGCCTTCTATTATTCATTATTATTTATTATTGTCAATGCTGACTACCAAAGTATTTGATCATATCTTAGGCTGTAAAAATAATTTAGACCAATCAGGTGAAGTTTTTACTATCCTAGTTTGTAACAAAACCCGTTAGGACCAATCAAATAATTTGATATCTGTTGCTAGCTCTAACCTTACTTTAAACTTTTAATAATTGTTTTTATTATATTAACAAATAAAACGGTGTCTTAAAGATAAAATGTATACCATTCTCCGGTTAAGTTTTAGTTAGTATCTGACAGTTAAATTCTATATAGATCGTTGTTAAAACAATGTTTTTGTCTTATTTATGTTTTAAATAATTCTACAGTACTACAAAAGTCAACGATATCCTTTGAAGGACTTTTATTTTGCTTTTTTTTTGTTTTTGAAAAAATAGTACATCCCGGTGCATTCGCCATTTTTGAAACCCTTTGTATGTACTTTGTATATTTTATTTATATTTAACACAAAAATAAATTGTAAAAATTGTTATTTCAATTATCACCCAACTTGAACTTATTAGTCTAATTATTTGTGGCAATTATTATTTGTTATAATATTATCAGGAGAAAAATAGTTTTTTAGAATCATTTAACAAAATGTCAATAGATAACCTAGGTACAAAAACAACAGTAAATTACTCTAATGAAACATTAAATAATACATTTAATATAGGAAAATTTAAACAGGGTGTCTTAAAAATACCAACCTTAACTTATATAGAAGGTTTTTTGTCTGACTAGTTATTTTTAAGATATTCAAATTTAAACACTTGGCAACGCTGCAGCGTTGTTATAAAACTGCAGAAAATAATTGCTTTATACATCTATGTGATTATTAGAGATGGGATTTTAGTTTTATTACCTATTTGTCTACGCTAATCATAACTTTGGTGCAATGGAATAAAATCCGTTTTAAAAAAAGATTTCATTTGACTCCGACTTTATTTTACCTAAATTTTAATTTTTAAGAGTAATGCACCTAAATGTTTAATTTTACAAACTAAAATTGTGTGATTTTACCTAAAATTGGCGTTGTCGTATTTGGATGACATAATTCTTATGCACTTAGTGCATATATATATATAGTTATTTTTGTTGGTAAGTAGCATTATAGTTACGAAAACTGATATCACCACTTCAAATGAGTGGCAATAACGTTTAAATAACTAAATCTACCACGATACAATTAAAATATCTCCATATTATAATAGCATAGTTGTAATCTTGTGATTTGCACCAGCAGAATATACTTAGTTTAGATTAAGTTATAGTTTTATAACTTTTTGGTGTACGAGCCCTAACCACATAATGTTCGGACACTTCATAATTTATACAGAAATTTTTTTCGTGAATACTATCTCAAAATTATTAGAAGTTATGAAAAATTCAGCTTATTTTGGCATATACCCCTCGAAGCGATTTTTATTTTTAAAAAGTTTACCTTTTATTTTTAGCTTTTAAAAAAAGGCTAACTTTTTAACTTTTTTTTGCATGAGTAAAAAAAGTTATAAATGGGCCCATTAAAAAGAACATAAAATATTATACAAACCCTGAAAATTTGGTAAAAATTGTATAAATAATAAGAAAGTTATAGCGATATATATATCTGCAAAATCTCCCGTTTCCTAAGAAAATTGCAAAAACTCTTTAAAAATAGCATTTTTAAATTACTTATACTTTTTTATAACTTATTTATTTAAAATAAAAATCGCTTCGAGGGGTATATGCCAAAATAAGCTGAATTTTTCATAACTTCTAATAATTTTGAGATAGTATTCACGAAAAAAATTTCTGTATAAATTATGAAGTGTCCGAACATTATGTGGTTAGGGCTCGTATTAGTCTGGTATCTAAAATGTTATGACCACTTTTGACACCACCTTAAACTTTAAGGCTTAAAGTTGTCTAAACTTTAGAGTGGATTATGAATGGTAACTGTAACCAAATCACATTACTTAAGACTTAAGTCTTAAGTATTACTTTGAAGTGGTAGTAGTAGTAAAGTGGGTATATTAGTTTTGGCAACGTTTTTGGAACTTTTCCCAAACCTTGAATGTGGCAAAACTTGAATATATAATTGCGGTGGTGATTGCCACGTTCTTGCTACATGCGTAAGTGATTTTCACGTTTTGTATAAAATTACCACTTTAAAGTTTCCTTCTTCAAAAGCAGACATGTTTAAAAATAATCGCCATTGTAGGGAAATAAATGTGTAGTTTAAAACAAATAATTCTGGTTTTTACCGCACCAAATCTAACACGTTAATACATATTTATTGGTTTCAGGTGACCAGTAATAATAATAAATAATTTTCATATCCGCTAAGTTTATAGATTTTTTTATTCTTTTTTATTACCACATATT